CACGGATCCTTGACCTTCCTCGGTCATAGGCCCCCTCTGCACATCCACGGGGCCCACGCATAGCTGAATCAGCAGGATGACGATGGCTTGCATGATATAGTGCAGGACGGCCCACCAGGGTGTCATTTCGCACAGCCAGTCCATGTTAGGGGGGTCGGGGAGGATGGCAGTCAGGTCCATGGCAGACTGGAGGCAGACCAGGGCCGTGGCATCGGCAAATGGAGAGCGCGGGTACCTGGTTTGAGTGCCCTCCTTCATATCAGGACGGGTGAGGCAAGGTCGGTTCAAGATAATCTGAGAACTATAGAAAGCGAGAGCCAGGGCAATCCGTTCCGGGCACGGCGCTGTCTGTTTCAGCCGGCCGTTGCTGTCAGAAAACTTGAAGCAAGGCTGAAGGCTAGACAGCCAGTCTCTCAACATTCCTTGAAAATGGATGATTTTGTCACTGGCACATCTCGGCAAGCCAAAGGACGAATGAAGACTATAGACCGCGTTGACGGCGGCATGGCTAATCACAGCAAGGTCGGCCACGTAGAAGAAATAGAGGGAACGATTAGGCTCGACGGCTTGGAGCGCCTGATTTCTATCGTCAACCTGGAATTTGGGGGTGTGAATGGTAAAGACAAACGTTCGCTCCCGCAAAGCAGGATCGGAAAGAAATTTTGCGGCTTGAGGACCATGGAACTGTGCTTCGTCGAAGGGAATGGGAGCCGGGATACTGAAGGACCGCCATTCAATGCATGGGGTACGGCCTGTCATCACGGAGAGGAGTTGCTCCAGAATGAAAAGCGACCACCAAAGACGAGTGCGGGACTCCCTTGATGTAGCGTCTACATTGAGACCAACCCCACGGAGGTTGAGCCCCAATGCTATTGCACAGCGGGCAGCACGTCCAGCCATATGCCACGCTCTGGTCAAGTCAGTTCCCTGTCCGTTCACATCATAGAGGCCCGCAACAAAGGAAGGAAGAGCACACCTGTTCACCTGGGCGGAAGCGAGATGGTAGATGGAATAAAGCACCCAGATCTGGACCTGCTGGAGATCCGCATGCTCCCCAAGCAGGCTTGAATCGGCATTGAGAGCTATGGCGCGAGACAGAAAAGTACGATCATCGATGGCATCGGTCCAGTCCTTCTCAGATAGCTGCATATACTTGGCGCCAATGGCATAGACCAAGTTCAGGATTGTAAGCCACTTTCTGCGCGGGGGCTCCGACTTGGTGAAAGCCTGTTGACATTGTGATAAGAAGAGGGTCCTGTTCAGCAGCGGGAACGATGGGTCGACTTTCGCAAGGTAGATGCTGATGAGTTGGTCGCTGCATGCTCGGGTTGGGAGAGCTTGCGGGTCCCCGGGAGTCAGGTTTGAGAAACTGAAGTGGTCGAGATGATAACTAAGCGAAGTCATATCATCTTCGGGCAGGGTCTCCTGCTGTGGCTGCGGGCTCTCGGACGAGTAGCTAAGTTTGCCAACTTCTTCAGTGAGCTTCTGCAACCAGGCGATTTCTGAGCCCCTGCCAATATAGCCGGTCGCCCTGCTGCGCTCGTCCCGGTTGATGTCTTCATTCAAGGTCGCAAAATCGTGAAGAGAGCCCGCCGACGAGGAAGCTGTGGTCGATTGCGAGGCGGCTAAGTCTTTGTCTTGTTCTTTGGAAGAGGTTGGAATGTCCTTCTGTTCCACCGAGCTCGGACCTTCACTGCGCAGGAAGCCGCCTTTGATCATCGATGAGAGCCGGTCAAGTTCGGCAGTGTCTTTATTATCCGAGGCCACGACCATCTGGCCCAAAAGCTCGTAAGCGGTGCGCAGTTCTCGCTCAGCCTGCCTCAGAGCCAGTTTCTTCCGCCTGTCGAGCTCCTCGGCAAAGACACATTGTGATCCGGCTTGGATGCATTTCTCGCATGGCTGGGTGCCTTGACACTGTTTTTCAAAAGTGATTCAGGACTTGTAAGGTCGCAGATTGTAAAGAGACAGGGATGCTGGGAGGCTGTAGTGACGTACTTTAGTCTTTCGTTTCTTGCAGGCTTCACAAGCATTGGAGCGTTTCTTGATGCGCGGAAGCTCGGACGGGCTGGATCGCGAGGAGAGGATGTTATAGGCAGGAGCAAGGGTTTTAAGATCTCCAGGCCGACCTGTCTGCATGATTGGTAAAAAGGGTGATGGAGTTGGATGATGATGCTGTCATAGTAAGGTACTCGGTTGTTCAGACCCTGTTGGTGGGGGAAGAAGGCCGGGGGGGGGTGGAGATGGGAGATTGAAGGCCGGAAAGAGATGAGATGACGTGAGACCTCGAGAGAGAGTTCGAAGCTCTGCAGTGCCAGGTGCGGTGGTAAATGTAAGTACGAGTAAGAGATACTAGAAATACTCAAAAAATACTGGACAATGAGAGGCTGGATGTTTTTGCCTGCGTCTGGTTCCTTGCCTGGTGGGTCGCCGATTCGTCGCCGCCGCCTGCCCCGCCCCCGCTTTTTGTCAAGCTGTAAGCAATACATAGTATGTACTGAGTCTAGTACTACTGTATGCTTGTGCTTCTCAGACTTGATCCAATCGATGGTATGTACCAGGTCTCGCGCTTTTTTTCTTGGACGGAAGAAAAGTCCGATTATGCATATCAATGGTACTCAGTGAAAGCTAAACAAGGAATATATATATACATATATGTATAATGAGTATAATGTATAATGTATAATGTGCAAATGGTGCCAAGAAAGAACTAAACGAGTACTAGGTACAACAATAGTACTCCCTCCACTCCCTCCACTCCCTCCACTCCCTCCACTATCCAAGCTCACCAATTGTCATCCCATCCACTATTGTCCTCGACGCTCTTTCTCCCCGTGCCCGACTCAGACGCACCAGAGGAGGCAGAAGTAGTCGCTGTGGTTCCAGCAACCTTAGTTCCAGCACCCGCAGCAGCAGCAACACCTCCACCACCACCACCAGGCTTCATCGCAGCCGTGCCAATCGCACTCGATCTTGATGCATTCCGGCGATGACTATCCTGTTCTCCCAATGCGGAGAACGAGTCCCAAAAGTCCTTTCTTTCCGGCTCGGCTCCAGTCCGGCCCCGTTCCCGACGGGCAGCTGCCGCCGCCGCCGCTTCATCCTGCCCTTCCACAAAACGGTGAAAGTGACCTGCTGCGCCACGGGCCCCAGTTTGTAGGTTTTGACCTAGTTGGGAGGCCTGCAGACGAGCCTGCGCTGCGAAATCCGACTCCGCTATCTGTAGTTGCCCCTCAGAGGTCAGCCCTATCCTACCACCATAATTCACCAGTTACATACCGTCTTGGCCGTTGGCTGGATATAGCTATCATTCACCGTCTTCGCCCCCTTCCCCACCGTTGTTGTGAACCATCCGAATCCTTTTGTCAACGCTGCCATGGGGTCTTTCTGGAAATCATCGAACCCAGGCAGGGCCCCAGAGCCTCCCGTGCGCTCGGGTCCCGCCGAAGCGGCGGGCGGCATCCCGCCTCCAAAACCCGTGAACTTGCCGCCCTGCGATGGCGGCAGGGACTCACTCCGGGTGGCATTCGCCGATCCCAGTTTGGCAAAATATGCCTCGTTGCGCTCCTTCTTGGTCGCGCCGGCACCCCCGTCGACGAGTCCGTCATGGGACGCGGGGGTGCCACCGCGCGCCAGAGGGGTGCTCGACCGTGACGACAATTCCGGCTGCTTCTTCGGTTGTTGTGATGGTTGAGTCGTCTGGCCTGGCACATACTCCCTCCCCTCAATCTTGGCAGATAGCCTCTCCTTCCATTCCTCTCCGACTTCGCCCTCGTAACGCTCTTTGATCGTGGAGTCTTCGAAGGTGCGGCCCTCGGATTGAGTGATAACGTGAGCGTCAAAGAAGGATTTCCAGGGCTCATTACCGCCCTGTTCCATGCGCATGATCTCCGCGGTCTTGAAGGCGTCCATGGTGATGGAGCGTACGAAGGAGATGTGCACTCCTAGGCCGCGGTGGGTACCGGCGCAGTTAAGGCAGATGAAGGTCCCAAACTTGGGCGATGCCTGGATAAGGCAAGCGGGTTAGCATGTGGAAGCAACTCTAGCCGAGCAGGGCGTGATGTCGAAGGAGTGTGGGAATGGGGTGGTGTGGTGACGTATGAAGATGGATGTGCAGCAAGGGGCAGGCAGTCATTAACCCACCCATTGGGGCGAGGGAGCGCCGCAATCGCAACATCTGTCGTTTCCGTTGGTTTTGGAGATCTGGAGAAGCTGATGATAGTGACCAGTCAGTAATGTGTCAAGACGTAGGGTGACGACGATTCGAGTACAGTTGAGGGAGGGGAAGGACGGGGACATCGAGGGGTAAGGGAGGGAGGGAGGTGGTGATAGTAGCAGTAACAACAAGCAAGCAAGTGGCTCGCTCACCTTGGCCCTCGTCTCCGGATCAACCTCCCACATGCGAGACATGGCAGCTCAGGAACTCACTGATCAAGAAACAGACTAAACACTGAAGGGGTTGCGGGACAGGAGAGCGATTGATTTGCCTTCTGCTGCTTTTGTTTGTCGTGGTGGAAGAAAGAAGTGGTGGTTTCAGGCCAAGTGCAGCCGCGACAGGCGGGCAGCGAGCGGGAGCCGATCGGCGGCGCTGCCTCTGTTGTTGCCGCGGGCTGCGGTTGCTGCTTTTCACCCTGTCCAACCCACCCACCACAAGATCTATCATTTACTCAGTAGCTCACTCGAATGCATGCATCTCGTCGTCTGAGAATTCTACCGTGCTTGGCGGGGTCGATGTCATACATATTCACGACCAATTTACTCAACTACAACAAACAAACAGAGACACCAGTTCATCATTACAAGGCCAGCCTTGCGGCTAATCATCACTTCGATAAATGGGGGCTAAGATACAGGAGCACAAGAGCAAGATTCGTGAACAAAAGCCAGGTTCTTCCGTCACCACCACACATTACGGGGTTTTCGTCTCCCGCCTCACCGCACGGAGCCTTTTCGGGAATCCGTATATAGCAAGACATAAGATAGGTTATTGGAAAGAAAAGTTGAAAAAAAAAAAACCACTCCTCCGGCGCAGACCAACTCAATCAGGATGAAATCGTCCACAACTTTTTCAGTAGAACGTTTTCGGTGGCTGTCTTGTCATCTATCCAACCCCCGACTGGAAAAATGACAACACTGGCCGCCTGACGAACGACCACGACTAGATACCGCCTCCAGATGACGGGTCCCGACTCTGTCGTCACCTCGATCCCTCCCTGATTATTCCATCAGGGATCACTCGTTCAGGTGGGGAACGAACTTGTCCTTTACTCAGCAGCAGCAGCAGCCGCCGGAGCAGCATTCTCCTGAGCTGGAGCCTCGGTGGCCTCGGTGGCCTCCTCGGTCTTCTCAGTCTTCTCAGTCACCGGGACGGCATCATCTTCCTTGCCAGGGCTGTCGATGGCAACCTTGACAGCAATCTCGCGGCCCTCAATTTCCTTGCCGTTCATCTCGTTCACGGCCTTCTCCTGGAGCTCTTCGGAACCGAGGGTGACGAAGCCAAAGCCACGACCCTTGCGGCGCTCGTTGCGAGCCTGGAGCTTCTTGATCATGAAGCGGGGGATGGGGCGGAGGGCGATCTTGGCGGAAACGGGCTGGTAGTCGGCGAAGATCTCCTTGAGCTATAAGATGGGTTAGTCATGCACAGTGCCAGCATACGTCGACTAGATCATACCTTGTCCTCGCTCAGGTCATAGGGGAGGTTGGCCACCATAACCTTAGTCTTGGAAGGGATTCCATCCTCAGGAGGGCCACGCTGCTTCTGAGCACGAGGAACACGGGGCTTGCCGGCCTGCTTGCCAGCCTCAGGAGCGGCAACGGTCTCGTTCTGGTTGGTGACCTCAGTCAAGGGGGCGACCTGACCAGGGACGTTGATGGGCTCGGTAGGGGCCTGCTCAGCTTGGGCTGGGGGCTGGAAACCGAGAGCAAGTATTAGCCTAAAGAGTACTACGAAATCACGACAAGTTGCGAATAGAACCTACCGAGCGTCCTCCACGGGGCAGGCGGCCACCACGACCGCGGCCACGGCCACGGCCACGGGCACGACCACCAGATCTCTTGCGACCTTCAGCACCGCTGGCGCCCTCACCGCCACTTGCGGCACCCTCAGCCTTGGCCTCGGCAGGCTCAGGCTTGCGGGCGAGCTGCACGGAGACCTTGCGCTGAAGGATCTCCTTTCCAGACAGCTCCTCAATAGCAGCGGTCGCCTCGTGAGCGGTGGCCAAGTCCACGAAGGCATAGCCAACGGGACGGTTGGTACGGGGGTTCACAGGAATGGAGACGCTCTCACTAGGTGATGACAGTTAATTAGTATTGCGGTAAGCTAGAGACCATTTATCTGTAGAGACGGGTCAGGCAGAAGGTGGTAACAGAAGCGTCCAAGGCAAAGTGTCCAAGGCAAAGTGTCCACTAAAGGGGCTACAAATTCGAAGACGGCCACTGCCAAAGCGAAACCCCAAGTGCGCACGGGAATCATATTATTTTTGATTGTGCGCGATCATCCCCAGTTACTCGTGGGCCGTGGGTTGGACGCCGCTCAGACCAAGAGAAGGAAGAGGCCAGGTGGACGGAAGCGCGAGCAACAGGGAAGGAGCAACACTTACATCTTGTAGTTCTGGAAGAACTCCTTGAGCTCCCCCTCAGTGGTCGCATAAGCGAGGTTCCCAATGTACAACCGACGTCCTTCATCGGCACTGGCGGCGGCCGCGTCCGTAGACTGGGCAGGAGCTGGAGCAGTGCCGTTGGTAGTAGCCTCCGGGGCGGTGGCGGCGGGGGTAGCGGCGACGTTGTCGGTGGTGTTTTCAACGGCAGTAGACATCTTGAAGGCTGAGGACACACAAAAGGTCGAAATAGGTGATTGAGGTGGTAAGGTGGGGGGGAGGTTTGCGCGCGCGGATTGACTTGACCGGGGGATGTGTGTAGCTGTGTGTCGGGATGCAACAAAGGACTCAGGAGAGCTTGAGGCTGCCTTGTGCTTGAGGATTGGAAGTGGGAATTAACTTGAAGAGGGGGGGGAAGATGGAGAAGAGAAGGAGGAAGGAAAAGGGTAGCTTGGTGCCCTAGATACGAAAGTTGACGGGGGG